GCGCAGAGCGCGTGCGGCTGCGGCAGCGTGAGGAAGAAGAGCGACTGCGGCCGGCCGTCGGCCATGGCGCCTGCGGGCCCTACGGACAGACCGAGGGGTGGGAGTACGGCCAAGGCGCTCAGGGCCCCCCACTTTCCTCGCGCGGCCTGGGGGCGCGGCCCACGTGCTGCGGGACGACTGGCCTCGCAGGGCGCCCCAACAGCCTCGGCGTCTGCGGGACCCCGCCTGACCCCCTGCCGGACCGGACCGGCTGCCACACGAACCAGCGCTGCCAAGAGCCCCCCAGCCCCGCCCCCACCCCGGCCCACACCTCACGTCCCCCAACCCCCCAGCCCCCGCGCCAGCCCAGCCCGGGCCTTAGCGTACAGCTTCAGGAGCCGAGTCCCTCCCTGCCCCCCCTCAACGTTCCCCGCCACGCTAGCCCTGCCCTCGAGTGGGGCCACCTCAGGGAGGCGCGGAGCCTCCGCCAGCTTGAGGAAAAGGCGGCAGGGGGCGCCCGCCAGCCCTCCCACCTTTTCTCACTGCCCCTTCCGTCCCCCATTCTCTGTGGCTGGGAGCCCCTGCCCGTCTGCCCACCTCACCTCACCTGGCGCGCCTCACCCCACTCGCTCCTCAGGACGCTGTCCCCTCCCTCACAGAAGCTCACTCCCAGCCTACACCTCAGCAATGCCCTGCGCACGCCAGCACGCCCCTCGGCCACGCCCCCCAGCTGAGGCTGCGCTCCCAGCATGCCCTGGGCTCCCCTTGCACATGGTGTGCAAGGCCTTAGATCCCAGCATGCCCCGCACCCCCAGCATGGCTTGTGCATCCTGCACTCCAGTCACGATCAGTGTTCCCAGCATGCCCTGCTCTCCCAGCATAGACTGTGTGCAAGGCCTTACATCCCAGCATGCCTTGCCCTCCCAGCATGCCCTATGCTCCCAGTGTACTGTGTGCAAGGCCTTAGATCCCAGCATGCTCTGCACCCGCAGCATGGCCTGTGCATCCTGCACTCCAGTCACGATCTATGCTCCCAGCATGCCTTGTGCTCCCAGCATGCCCTGTGCCCCATGGGATGCTGCTACGTCCAGGACTCCCAGCATACACTGCACATCATGCACTCCTGGGACCCCCAGCTTTCCGCATGAAGGCTGATAGTGCACCAGTAGCACAGGAGGTCCCTTGAGATGATCTGAGAGAAGAGTTGGGACCCAGGCACAGGCCCTACCCTGGCTGCCCTTGAGGGGAAGGAAGGTTGTACTGGGTAGCCGCAGGCCCTGAAGCCCCATGCTGGCTTGCTCTCTTAACTAGATACTCATGTCTGCCCTTTCTGTCTCCTGAAAGTCCTCCCATGGCTCAGCTGTCCATGACTGGAAATCTATACTGTGGTGTGGTACTATGGGCCTGGTGCAAAGCATGTTCAAGATGCCGCTCATTATTTGTAAATACTAAGCCCTGCAGGTTCTTGGAGGTAGCCTAGGAATTAATGATAGAATACTAAAGAAGCAGTAGCCCTGTCCTTGTGGGATTTACATTTGTACATGGATGTCAAGGGACAGATCTATGAGCAACAATTTAGTATGGTAGATAATGACAGGTACATGGAGAAAAGTAAAGTGGATGGGTGGAGACAAGAAGTGTTGGCAGGGGCCATTACAGAGGTCAGGAGGTCTCACGCAGGTGACCTCTGAGTAAGCAATGAAACACTCGGGTGTGGGAGACCCCAGGGCTGCTGCTGAGAAAGTGAATATTGACCACACAGCCCAGAGGCAGCAGCGTGACCAGTTGGCTAGAGTGCAGAGGGAGCATGACCCAAGGTTAGACTGGAGTGGGGCAGTTTTAGGCCTCTGCGCTGTGTCTGTTCCAGCTGGCCCTCTTTGAAGTGACACTCTTGCATCAAAGCTTAAGTTACACATTTGCAACTCTTTGGGTTTGCACTACTGTTTTTTTTATGGCATATTTTTACGAGTAACTTCAAGAGTAGGATGGGTTTTCAAACAGTTTATAAAACCTTATTTCTAAGGAAAAGTCAGGAAGAATTTGTAAATAGGTGTGTGCCTTTAATTTCTGAGATTTGTCTCCAAATATAGGAACATCTGCCAGATAAGCTACTTCCTCATTCCTACCCTTTAGAATAAGGAAGTCTGGTTGAATAATAATGATGATGATGCATTAGTTAAAATCTAGTGATTGTTTTTTATGCACCAGGCCCTATGCTGAGCATTTTTGAAGCACCTGGCTTATATTTAGTGAGAGCTTATTGTCATGCATCTGCTAACTCACTAAATCAGTGATGTGATCCAAGTCACTGACACCAACGCTTTGCCTTTAGTCACTTTCAGAGTTATTTGGAACTGAGACAGACAGTCTTGTCACCGGACTACAAAGGTGTCCGGTCACTCAAGAGACTCGGTGCTCTGTGAGTGGCTGTGGTGATTTAGTAGTCCTGAAATCTATTAGGTATACAGTATAACCTAGCTTGCTATTTTTAACAAGCAGAGGAAATTTACAATGTAAACGCAAACATTTGAAAAGAGGAAAATCTGCAACATTCTAAATGCCCATTTTGAGAATTAGAATAAGATACACAAAATAAACCTTAAGCAAACGGAAGGAAAAAACAAGGATGAAAGCAGGAATCAGTGAAATTGAGAAAAGAAAAATAGAGAAAAGATTGATAAAATTGACAAAACTACCAAAGCTACAACATAAAAAGAGAAATCACAACTAACATCAGGAGTTAAACAGAAGATATAATTATAGACTTTGCACATATCAAGAAGGTAATGGGGGCTACTACGAATAGTTCTGCACACACAGATTTCAGAATCCAGATGGAATGAGCCAATTCCTCAAAAATGTACAAGCTATTACAGATCTTTCAGTATGAAACATAATTGAATACATCTCTGTTATAGGAACTAAATTCAAAGTTTAAAACCGGAAATAGAAATCCACAGGCCTATATGATTTCACTGGGGAAATCTACCAAACTTGAAAAGAGTTAACTCTCACTCTATAGTCGCTTCCTGAAAAATAAAAGAAGGGGAGATACTTACTGACTCATTCTGTGAAGCCAGCATTACTCTGATATCCAGACCAAACACATACAGCACACAGAGAGGAAGCTGCCCACAGCATTCTGGACCTATGCGGAGCAGCTTGTGTCTGGAAAGGCCCCACCCTAACACTTTCTACCCATTGCTTCTACTCAATAACCTTTTTGGCAACATGGGCATTCTTGAAATTTCTGTAAAACTTGTCGAGTGCCCTTGCTGTCAGGAGGAAGAAGGTGCAGGACCCCACGCTTGACTGGTCAGGGCTGGATTATAAGGCCTGTGCAGATGGGCCAAAAATAACGATGAGTGGCTGCGGACTCAGTACCGCACTGAAGCCCTTGCCTCTGGGTAGGAGTTGACCTTTGCTCGCTGAACATGTCAAGTGTGAGGCAGGTATAGTAGAGCCGCACAGGTGCCAGAGAAAAACTGCCTGGAACAAATGAGAAAGACCATTTAATTGTGGTGCTTTCTGTCTTGTTTGCTTCTTGCCAGAAGACCCTGAACTCTCTGTAAATAACGTTTAGGTTTGATCCTTAAGTCTCTTCTGTTAGAAGGCCGTTCCCTGGGGCTCTGTCTCTTGCTTTATCTCTTAGAGTAAACCCTGGTGCTCTCTCCTCTGCTTGGCGATGGAGTCCTCGATGAATTCCGGCAAGGTTCTCGAGGATTCACCAGAGGGAGCTGTTGGCACATCTAGATAGGAAAATCCTTAATAAAACTTTAGACATAGAATTCTGTAATATTTAACAAGTATTCTATATATAAACAAAGGGTGTATATTCCAGAGATGCAAGGTTGACTTTGATTCAGAAAAATGAATGTATTTCATCATGTGAAAAGGCAAAAGAGGAAAAATTCCAGGCCATGTCATTTGATGTAGAAAAAGCATTTTATAAAACTGAACTCATGCTAAAGATTTAGAAACAAGTATAGTGGATAACTTCGACTTGATCAAGAACATGTACAAAAATCTACATTATCATACTTAGAAGTGAAAGACTGAATACTGTCGAAGACTGAGATCAAGACATGCTATCTGCTCTTACTACACCTTATTCAACATATTACTGGCTGTTCAAGCCAATGTGATGCAAGAAAGTGAGTAAGTGCAAGACAATACAAAAGGAAAAAAAGAAAGCTTCTATTTGCAGGTGACACATAAGTCACCTGCAAATCCCCAAGGAATCCACAAAAAGCTCACTCCAGCAAGTTCATAAAATACAATGTAAACATATGCTAGCAAGTAACATGGAAAGAAAAATAAAGTGCCAGATATAATCATTCATAAATTGAAATACTCAGGTGTAAGTCTAACAAAACATGCACAGGATGTATATGCTAAAAACTACAAAATGCTGATGAAAAATACTGAAGATAATCTTTCATAGAGAAGTGTCTGAGTTTATGGATTGGAAGAGTCAACAGTAGCTAATCTTTCTAACTTGGCATACAGGCTTAACCTAATTCCTATCCAAATATCAGCAGTATATTTACAAATTTAGACATGATTGCTCTAAAATTTAAACGAAAAGCCAAAAGAACTAGAATAAAATGATAATGGAAAAAGACAGCAGGAGGAATCAGTTTACTTGATTTTACTACTTAAAGTCATGATTTCACTGCCCCTGTGGAGCATGCATGGTGCTGGGAGAAGGAACGATACACAGGTCGATGCACAGAACGCAGGGCTCAGAAATAGCTCCCTATACTTACATCCAAGCGATCTGAGCAGACTAGTAGTGCAAGTACGTCAACAAAGCAATGTAATGAGGGGAACAGACTTTTCCGCAATGGTTATCTGAACAGCTAGATCAAGAAAAAATGACACTTTTTCTAAGTCTCAGACCTTATATAAGAAATAACACGGATAATAGATATAAATATACAACTGAGACTTTTAGATTTAGAGCAAATATTCAGGACACCAGGCTGGTGAAGTGTTCTTAGACATGGCAGCAAAAGTATATCCATGAAAGAAAAAAGTGATGAACAGGAACAGCCTCAAAATGAAAACCTTTGGCTTTGAGAAAAAGGGTGAAAAGACTGGGAGAAAAAATATTTGCAAGCTACAGATCTGACAATGGACTCACATCTCATATATAAAAAGAACTCTCAGAATTCAACCTAAAAACCCGGATTTTAAAAGACGAAGACAGGAAGAAACAATGTACTGAACAGAATGTACAGATGGCAGGTCAGTCCATGAAATGGAGACCATAAAGCACCACCACATAGTTACTAGAATACCCAAAATAAAAGTAGCAGTCGTACCCAGAGCTGGGGAGGGTGTGAAGGAACTGATCACTCAGGCATGATGCAGGGCATGTAAACTACATATGCTCTGCAAAATTGGCAGTGTCAAAAATTAAAATTAAAATTGGTCACCTCCTAACAATCACACTCATGAACATTTACCCTACAGAGATGAAAACTTATGTTGACATAAAACCTGTACGTGACGGTTCTTTATTGTAATGGGCAAGAGTTGGTTCTAACCAAAAGGCTCCTCATGAAGTGGTCAAAGTAACAGCCAGCAGGAAGCAGCCAGTCTGGCACTCCGCACTGTGGGTGCGGCTCCAGGGGACCATCACACCCCTGGAAAAGGCCAAACAGAAAAGGCCACACACTAATTCATTCACATAACATTCTTGAATTACAGAGCTGTGTGGATAGAAAGCAGATTAGCGGCTGGCAGCCAGCAGGACAGTCAGGAGGAGGGAGATCTTTGCCATCAGGCTAGAGCTCCGTGCTTGACGCAGAGGGGCCATAAATCCCCGTATGTGATGGCAAGTCACTGGAGAGGGCACGCTGCCAACGTCCACTTCCTGATTCTGATACTGCGTCCTAGGGACACTGCCAGGTAGCCACTGGGCATAATTGGGTGAAAGGTTCGTGGGCTATAGACAACTCTGAGATTCTACAGCTATCTCAAAGTTAAACGCTAAACAGTATAGAACTTTCCTAGAGGTTATTTCAACATTACACTTTTATTGACTGCTGGGAAGCAAACATTTATTGATATATGTGACCTGGAGCCACACGAGGAGGCCGTGACAGGGCGTCTACCTTCGTTCACTGGGTTCCGAAGTGTAGCCAAGTAGCAAGGCGTTACCCTGGAAAACGGTTGCTGGACTGTTCGCTCCCTGGCAGGTCAGGACACCCCGGGGATGCCAAGCAGGAGGAAGAGACCACAACCCTTCCCGAGCACTCGATGGACATGCCACACAGGTGGCCCGGGTGACCCACGCGTGACCTGTTGTGGACTTTCAGGCATTAAGCGCCAGGGCTGCAGAGGGCTCTGTAAGGACCCGACTTCCTAACTCGCTGGAGTTGTTCTTTCACACTCCCCTTCCCCCAGGCGTGCAAGTCCTGCCCAAGCCCGCTTGGGGTGTCGGACCAGGCTCCAAGGCAAGTGCTGAGTCCTTCAGATTCACCCAGAGAAGGGGTGTCCACGAGCGAGGGGCCCGCACGGGGCGGGGGTCCAGGCTTCAGGCGCCTGCTCAGCCTCCCTCACGGCCCTTGTCGAGCTAGAAGTCACCCCGGAGCGTCGCAGCACCACTGCTTTCGTGGCACATCATCGCCCAGGTCCTGCTGACCAGACTTCACCAAGCAGTCACGGTGCCACCGCCAGCACCAGCGAACTCCGCAGGGACGCGTGCCCGGCCGGCTCCGCCGCCTTCTGCGCAGGCGCAAGCAGGCCTCGCCCCGCCCCGGCCCGGCCCGGCCCGCCCCCTGGGCTCGTGGCCAGCGGTGATTCTGAAGGGCACCTGTCGCAGCCAATCAGCACCCGCGCTCCGGGCGGGGCCGCTCTGGGGCGGGCTGAGGCGGCCGGCCAGGGGCGGGCCCCGTGAGTGACTCGCCTCCTGCCCAATCCACGGGCCCAGGCGCCGGCCCGCCCCTGCGAGCCTGGGCCGCCCAGTGCCGGCGCTGGGCCGGGGCCCGGGATGTCCCGGGTCGGCTAGCTGAGACCGCGTTCTGCTTGGCCTGGCTCGGTTGCTCTCCGCTGGGCCCGAGGCTCGTCGCGATCCGAAATGGCCGAGAAGTCGGACAAGGCCGTCAAGTACTACCGACTGGAGGAGATCCAGAAGCACAACCACAGCAAGAGCACCTGGCTGATCTTACACCACAAGGTGTACGATCTCACCAAATTTTTGGAAGAGGTGAGTTGGCGAGGCGCGACGAAGATCGGGGCTTGGGGGTTCCTTCTGTGGCAGCGCGGCGGGGTTAACGTGCAGCGCCGGCGTCTACGCTGTTGTGCTTAAGTATCTGGGAGCGCCCCAACCTCACCTGCCTGCTCACCCCTGTGTGCACAAGTGAGAGCCTCCCAGTCTCACCTGATATGCTCACTCCCAGGCCAGGGAGCGCCCGAATCTCACCTGAGCCTGCGCACCCCTTTGCGTGTACCTGGGAATATCCTCAAGTCTCACCTGAGTCTGCTCACCCCCTATGTACACTGGGGAGCACCCCGAGGCGTGGGAGCGAGCTGCTCCAGCAGCCAGAGGTGCACCCAGGTAGGTCAGGCGCCCCGGCGACCCTGCGGGGCACGTCGAACGTCACTGAGCGCTTGGGGAGCCACATCACCCCTGGAGGTGCCTTCCTGGGAGAGGGCCTAGCGAGGAAGAATTTGAAGCTCCCTTTCATCTTTGGGTGTGCGCAGAATAGGGTCCGCATCTTGGGCGGGGGTTGTCCCACTTCTGTTGTTGCTGGAGCCGACTCCCGACCTGAGCCATCGAAGACCACAGAGAGCTCCGCAGTCCCACCCGCGGGCACGCTGTTGGAAGGTGGGACGGAGTCTACACCTGCTTTCTCCAGGGCACCAACCTGTCCACCTGTCCCTCGCCTCCCCCCCTGCCCACCTGCCTGTCACTAGGAGGAACTCCTGGCCGGAGGGGATGGAGTCTTGATGAAGGAAGGACCTAGAGACTGAGGAGTGAAAACTCTCCCAGGGAAATTTGATCTTCAAGCTGCTTTGGGAATTGTCATATAACTTTGCTTAACTTAAACAAAACATTCCTTTGGTAGAATTCTTTACATGAGGTCTCAATTTTTGCAGCAAACTCTAAGTGGCTTTTTTTTTTTTTTTTTTTTTGCTACCCCTGAATGTGCTTTACCACTGTGGGGGAGCTTGGATTATATATCTAACTCACCCTCCTTCCTTCTCCCAGACAGTAACTGAGAACATTTAGTGATGGGAATTATTTACATAGTTTGAGGGAAAAAGGAAAATAGAGACCTGGTCTTAACTGACCTATCTCAGTTTACATCAAGAGACTTTTGTTGTGCACACAATACTTTTTTTTTTAATTAAAAACTTTAACAAAAAAAAAAAAAAAGAAGAAGAAGAAAGAAAGAAAGAAAAGAGGCCAGGGCTGTTTACTCCTAAGATATTTCACTGCTAAGTTGTCATTCTGGTGGTGCGCCAGAAGACTGGGTCCAGAGTGGCTTGCAGCCTGATCAGACACGACGGCCTTGGCCTGCGCGGAGTGGGGTGGCCCGCGCCAGGGTCTTCAACAAGCCGCAGCGCAGTGTGGGCTCTGGGGCTGCCAGGTCCCCTGGTGTTCCTCCCTGGCTCCCCAGATACCAGAAGCACCTCTCCCAGAGTGACAACTCAAGTCTCCAAATCTGCCAAATGTTCCCTGGGACAAAGTCCTTCTCCGTGGCGTCACTGGCCTAGCCTGCACTGTGCAGGGCTTCTAGAGACTTTTCAGAAGGAAGAGTAAGGCAGAGAAGTTGGTTTACGAACCATTCACTTCCATGAGGCTCCCTTCTGTGTGCCGGGGGTACACCCCGGTCTCGTTTCTGTGAGGCAGGAAACCTCGTAAGCTGGAAACCTGGGAATACCCTGGTGGGTAAGCTAGCTGACAACACATTCCTGTACCCTCTCACTGGCTTTTCAATACTTTTCTTTTTAAGAGTAACGTGGGAAGAATGTGCCTGTAGTCAGATGAGATGAAATGAGCTTATTCATATTTGGTGGCTGGTGCTCATGGTGACGTCACCTAAAGCCACTGTTGATGGTCAGGAAAAAATCCCAGCCCTTCCTCTGTACTTGCTATGTATGGAGTGCTCCCCATTATGAACTCCCTGGAGCCCGAGGGAGCACTCCGCTGCCCTTGGGGGTTCACTTCCTGCCTCTGACCAGGTGATCCAGGATTTGATGTCTGCTGAGCGCTTGCCTCATACTGTGGTCCTGGCAAGAGAGGCTACCCTGATTCCAGCAGCTTCCACTGGAGGAAGCTGGAATGACACAGAAAACAATTCAGGGAACAGGAATAATGACCCAGAAGGCCCTGATGTGGGCTGGACGCTCTCCGTGTGCAGAGGTTGGTGGGAAGGAGGAACTGCTAAGGCAGGGTTCAGATAGGGAGGTGGCTGACCTTTGAGATTGGCTCACCTAGAGGTGACAGCCTGCAGCAAGTGGGAGCCTTTGCACCGGTCATCGGTCAGCCTTCCACCACATCCCATTCTGCTTTTTTTTTTGGAAGATTTATTTATGCATACAGAACTGGGGTACAGGCCAGGGGTGCAGAGGTGGCGAGAGGATTCACCAGAGACAGAGTGGGGAGCAGAACAGGCAGATGGATGAAGTCCACTGCTGAGGGGAGCAGCGGAGGGGGGGTTCAGGAAAGGCCTACTGTGCCCCGTGGGTGGGTCAGAAAAGGTCTACTGCGCCCTGTGGGTCACCTCCCTGGCCAGGGATTGAACTTGTACTGAGTGGCTGCTGTAAGCTTCACGATGCTGTGCTTTAACTCATTGTGCCACTAGAGAGGGCCCATCCTGCTTTTTTGAAACACGTTTTCCATTTGCTGTTACTGTTTGTGCCCGTGAACCATCTCTGTTGAAATGCCCAGTAAACTTTGGCTTCCAGCCTCCAGCACACGCGTGGGTTGTGTGGGGCTCTCCACACTACAGACACCCCCTGCAGGCCACTTCCTGCACCACAGAGGCAAATCTCGTGCTGAGATTTTCTGCAGGGTGTTCTGCCAGAACCTTCCGGCCCCTCCTGTTCCCATGATTTTGTTAGGCCAGGGCTGTTTGCCTGACCCGCTACTGACAGCGAAAGCACCAGGAGAGCTGCCTCTCCCCCATGCCCCGGACCTCCCCTTTTTTCCACCCTGTCAGCGCCCCGGGAATCCACGAGGCCTTTGCACATTGGCGGGAGTTTCTGCTCTCCCTGGTTTGCTTAAGGATGACCGCACGGCTGGCCTCCTGTTGCTGTGGCCCTGCTTCTTTCTGCTGTCTGTTGCCGTGGCCCTTCCTGTGGTGGCGGCCCCCGGCTGGTGTCAGGGCAGCACAGATTGTGCCGTCCGCATTCGTGCTGGGGACATGCACAGCACGGTGGGTGGCAAGGGGCCCTGGGGGCTGCATGTGCTCGGTGCCTGTTAAGGAACGATGGGGGCATGATAGTATCTCCCTCACCAGGCTGGTACACAGATTATGGCAATGCAGTTAACCCACCGGGAGCAGGCCCGGTCTGGCGCAGTGAGGCCGAGGTAAAGCTGTAAATCTGCAGGTGATGTCGAAACGGGAGAACGCCATAGGAGTGATCGCCTTCCAGCAGAGCCCGGGGGGATGTTCGCAGTTGTGCAACTAACTCTGTTCTGGAATAGTGGCCTCAGAGAGCTCATTCGTAGTCCAGGAGAGGGGAGGCGCTACCTTAACAGCAGCAGGTGCAGCTACCAGTGACACTGACCTACGAGATCACGAGCTTCGTCGCCTGCATATTTTGATCTAGGTTTATGTTCGTTTTTGTTCCGTCCCGGGTTCCAGCTTTCGAGTTCATAGATGAGCCTGCCATGCCTGATGGTATTGTTCGCAGAGCTGATGGCTCTGGGCCTTTATCTGAAACAGAAAGCAGGCATTTGGGGTCGAAGGGAAAGAATTGCTCTCCCCCCTTGGCTGGGCCGTGGCGCTTACTCAGTGTAGGAACAAAAGTTCCTGCAGCTGACGGCAGCTTGTAGCTGGTGTGCAGGTCAGCGCGGTGCTTGACTTGTGAAACGGCCACGTCCTGAGAGGGCCTCCGAGCAGGCGCCTTCTGTCCGGTGGGCCTCACCTCCCTCACCATCAGAGCGGAAACTTGTCCCTGAGTCATTTCTCGGCCCGGGAATCCGGGGCTCGGAGTCCTCAGTGTCTCCCTGGCTGCGCCACGCTCTGGCCTCGCTGGCTGGCCCTGCGTGCATTCCCAGCCGCCTGGCCCCTGGGGCTTCCTCTGTTGTCCCTGGTGATGCTCCGTGGCCCATGGCTGCCCGTTGCAGCGGCCAGGGCTCCGAGACTGGGGGTCTTCGGGTCCCCTACCTCCAGGGGGCGGGAAGAGAGTATGGGTGCCTGAGGTTCAGTGTCCTTCATTCTGGAAAAAACCACAAGGAGCTTGTATCCTTGCCCCTGAAGGGGCTAACATCCTGAGTCTCTGCCTTTGTTTTTTAAGGAAGTTTGATAGTACTCGGAACTCGCTACTGTTGGAAGCTGTGGCTGCCAAATTTGTCTTTCTCGAATGTAACACGGGAAGACTGTTATTTATTATTATATAGTTTGGAAGATAAACCTTGGGAAAGGAGGGAGACAGATCCTAAGTGGGGACGGAGGCTCAGGTGTCCTGGGTGAGCGGGCGACGGAGCCACCTGGGCTGGACCCCCAGCGCCCTGGCAGTGGCAAGGCCTCTGTGGCTTCTTGCTGCCTAACATTTTTCCCTCAGAAACTTTTTGCTACTTTTGAGAAGAGAAACCAAGAGTACTTGTGAGGTCACATTGCTTTGAAGCAGTCACAGACAGAAAAGCCCCACTGGAGAGTGTTAGTTTTTGATTTTGTTGATCTTTAAGGTGTGTGGAAATTCTAGATAAGAAGGGAAGCGGGTTGCGCTGGCCCTCTCCGGTGAATCAAAAGATAAGTTGTGCTCTGTGGCGCGCGCCGCGCCGGCCTGTCATTCTCAGGCCTCCCAGGCGCGGGAGGCCAGCAGCGGCCTCCCGAGTGTGACGGGGCCCGAGCACCCGGCCGTGCCGGGAAGCGCCCGGTGTTGGGGACACCCGTCTGTCTTCGCCCCGTCGCTGTGGTGGCCTCTGCAGCAGGCGGATGTCGGAAAATGCTCTCCCCTCGCGCGAGGGGCCGGCCTGTGGCCTGGCCGCCTGGGCTCGCGGCTCGGGAGGGCAGCAGCGTGGACGATGCGGGGAGCCTGCGGGTGTTCGCGCGGGGCTCGCGTCTTCTTCCGCGCCAGTGGCCACGGCTTGCTCGTTCTGGCTGTCGTTGCTGCGGCGACTTTTGCCGTGGGGCAGGCCCAGTGTCTGCTCACTAGAGCACACGTGGGAGAGTGTCAGTAGCCAGCACAGCCCAAACGCCTTCACGGGAAGCAGCCTTCTCAGGGGTATGTGCCCTGCATAATGGGGTGGCACCCTCCTCTGGAACGTTCAAAATACGACTTTCCTGTTTTGGGGGCAAGAGCACTTGGTCAGTGTAAGGAGCTGGACTAGGCGGCAAAGCAAAGGCAGGACAAGGCCCAGGCCCCAGAGGCTGGAGCTGAGCACTGGGCACGGCTCCCGAGCCTTCCCCATGATCTGGGCACGCCCGGCTGCCCAGGGACATCATTCCTGCCCCTCCCCTGTACGTAGAGGCGCCTTCCCTGTGGGGACCTGTCTCCCGGCCTGCTCCTTGCTCCGAGCGCCACACTCTTCCCAGTCTCCCTCTGCAGTGTGCGCGCACACGGGCACGCGTCGGTCTGGGTACGTCCCCGGTGCCCTGGGTCACCCGTGCCCGCCCATGGCCCCCAGGCGGTGCACCTGGTCTCCCCATAGAGTTGCCTTTGGTGCTGCCAGCTTGGGCAAGACCCACCTCCTCTCCCGATTACGTGGACATTTTTGTCAGAAGGGGCGACGTGTTTCGCGTAGTAATTCTGGGAAAAGCGCAGCTGCAGCCAGAAGCACCTTACTTATCCTCAAATGAGCCACAGGCCCAGCACTGTCCACTTCGGGGTGCTCAGGGCCGTGGTTCCTTGCGGCCGCCCGGCGCCCCCATGTGAGGCTTCCCCGGGCCCGCCCCTGGCTGTCCCGTGTGCCCCAGGGGCTGGCGCCTTAACCGGGCGCTGCATGGGGTGCAGGAGCGTGAGCTGGGGCGGGGGCTCACCTCGTGCTGGACAGCGTGTCCTGTTAGTCCGACCGGGTTGGCACAGCTCCGGCTGTCCTCTGGACGCTGGCTAGAAACGCCTCTGGCATCCCAGTGGTGGTTGGGGAGTGGACCCGCCCTGCGGCTGGGGCTGCAGGCAGAGTGGGCGCAGGGAGGAGGCCGCTGCCAGCCGTGGTCGAGGGCCTGTGTGCCCGGGGTCCGGGTGACAGCCCGCAGTGAGGACCTGGCGCTGGGTTTCCCCTTGTTCTTTTTGTGCCTCCTGTGCTTGCACTGAGCATGGGCCGGAGCGGGCCAGGACACAGCCGCCCCGCCTCTGTCCTCCCTCGTCTCCCTCAGGGAGTCGGCAACGTCTTTCACTCCCTCCCCAGGACGACGCCGCCTGTAACGGCTTTTCGTAATGAAAGTGAGGGAGTGGGCATGGCCGAGCAGCGGCCGGCGCGGGTGAGCCGTTGGTACCCGGCTGCTTTTTGTGCCTGAACCTTCCTTTGCCTTTGTCCTCTGGGTCTCCAAAACGACCCGCTCTGGGCGGTGGCAGTGGGATCCTCCTTCAGTTTTTTTGAACCGAAGTAACTTTGGTTGAGAGCAGCTAGAGGCCTGTGGTAGAGAGCAGTGTTTCGGCCTGTTGCTACCGCAGTATGACCCACCACAAGTCCAGCTTCTGTCTGCCATCACTCGGCTGGCCACTTTTGCCCGAGTTACCCACCTGGGTCCCCCTTGGTTAAGTCAAGAGAAATGAGGCCTGGGAATTTCAGCGCGTAGCAAAGCCACTGGAGCAAAGCCAGGACTAGATGCCAGCCGCCGGCTGCCCAGCCCAGCAAGTTCTTCTGCCAGTTCTGTGGCGAGGGCAAGGGCCCTAGGGAGGGGTGAAGGTAACTGGGTAGCTTTGCGAGGGAAAGCCAGCCAGAGCGTGTGCGATTGCATCTCCACTTGGAGATTCATCCTGGCTCTAGGCAGGAACCAGGGAGAAAGCAAAGCAAGTCGTGGCGGAGAAGTCTGAGAGAGCTTGGGAAGCTGAAAGGGCCAAACTGTGCTTTTTGTCTGTTCTCACCTTACTGTTGCCTTCTGGAAGGTGAAGGAAACAGCCCTTCCAGCTTCTTCGGCGAGTTCGTTGTCCCTGCCACGTGGCTGTGAGGCGTCACGGAGGTGCAGGGCGGCCTTGTGCGCGTGGGCCCGCCCTGCCGAGCCCCTCCGCCTCCCCAGCGCCAGCCCCACCATGTTCCTCTTCTCAAAACCCAAGCGTTTAATGAAGCTGGGGGACAAAATGGCCCCGACAGTGTCCAAGAGCCCTGCTGGTCTCTTCCAAGGGTCTGCTCCTAACACAGCTCGAGGGTCTTCGGAACCAGCCGGGTCTGAGAGATCCTGCGGTGGTGGGCCTGTTGAGGAGGCCCCTCGGAAGTGCCCGGAAGGATCTCTGGGTGGAGACCCCAGCTGCCCTGGGAAGGCTCTGGTCTGCCCCCCGGGGCGCAGCCAACCCCATGCTGCCGGAGCCTTGGACTGCCCTCTGCCCAGGATGCAGGGCTGGCTCTGCCCTGCTCTCCTCGGCCTGGCCTTGCAGGACTTCACAGTTTGCATCGAGGTGGTGGCTGCGTGGGGTTTGCCATTTCTAGAAGGAAACCAGCACGCTCGCCGGGCAGGGCCAGGCCGTCGTTCTGCGAGCTCCTTCCGGCCTTCCTGTTGCAGGGAGAACCGGCCGCTCCCTTTCCTGGCATGGGAGGCCGGCTCCCGGCCTCTGCCTGGCGGGAACCCTGCCTCTCCCCACGCCCAGCGCCTCGGCAGGTGTGGGCCTCAAACGAGTCAGGCCCGTTCTGCCTCCAGGACCTCTGTGCTCATCCCCTCTGCCTGGGATCAGTCCGGGAGCCAGCGCTCAGGTCACAGCCCGGCTCTGCCTCGGTGCCGCTTCACCCCTCGGCTCACCTCGGTGGTGTTTGCTGCGTTCTGGCTTCTTGCTGCCAGCGGGCACGGCGGGCGCCCGGGCGGCGCTCAGTGCTGCTCTGAGCGCGGTCGCCCACCTGGAGTCTCCGCCCCGGGCCTCCCCTTCCTGCCCCGCAGGGGAGGCTGTGGGGTGTGACAGGGCCTCGTTGCTCTGGAGACGTCTCCCTGGAGTCTGGGGGGAGGTGGGGGGGCTTATGACCCGGATGCTGTGGGGCTTTATGATGCCGGTGGGTTTCGCTGTCCTCAGAGCTGGGGCACGGGCTTCCTGCGAGGCCTGTGAAGTAGGGAGGGGCGGG